CCCCAAAACCCCAAAACCCCAAAACCCCAAAACCCCATTATGCAATATTAATTGAAGATTAAAGATAATGGAAACTTACGGAGAAGAGGAAGATAAAATCCAAGACCACAAGTCTGCCAAGACTAAAGTTTATTCTTGGGGTAATGGAAAAGGAGGAAATCTAGGTAATGGTTCAATTGAGTATGAAGCTCTTCCTTTTAATGTGAAGGAACTAAACAAGAAGAACATAGTAAAGATCCAGTGCGGAGAATGGTTCTGCCTGGCTCTTTCAGCTAATGGAATTTTATACGGATGGGGCAAAGCAAGCAGGTCAAGGTTTGAACTCAAGGGAGATGGAGACATTGTTTATAAACCTACAAAGATTCCTCTCAGTTTTAAAGTTAAGGCCTTCTCTGGGGGATATTGGCACTCACTGGTTGTCAGCACTGAGGGACAGGTATATTCTGTTGGAGATAATAAGAAGGGAGCTCTTGGACTTGGCCATACTTCTAATGTTGACGAGTTTACTGAAGTGCCTGATTTAGAGAATATTGTGCAGGTTTCTGCTGGAAGCGGATTCTCCTTCTTTCTCGATAATGAAGGAAAGCTGTTTTCATGTGGAGGAGGAGCAAATGGCCATAAAGGAAAAGGAAATATTACTAAGCCAACTGAGATTACAATTTTCGAAGAACCTGTTAAATATATCGATAGCGGAATTGACCATGCTGCATGAATTACTGAATCAGGGAAATTGTATACTTGGGGAGCCAATACTTTTAAGCAGCTTGGGCATGGATCTTCAATATCAACTTCTAAAGTACTGAGTACTCCAAAGGTGGTTTCAGAATTAGAAGAAGTTAATATTGTTAATGTTTCATGATCAAAGGGGCTGAAGCATTGTCAAACATCGTGTGTAGATTCAGAAGGAAGAGCATACTTCTGGGGGTGAGGATATAAAGGAAAGTTGGGCAATGTTGACGACTGGGTTCATATAGCAGAAAGTGATGAGGATAAACCGAAAGCCCTCAGAATGGAAGGAGTTGCATTCACTGAATCAGGTGGAATTCATTCTAGCCTTGTCGACACTGAGGGAAACCTTTATACATTTGGATGAGGCTCTCATGGAAGATTAGGCCATCCAAGATATATTGAAGGAAAATATAGACATTTATACAAAGAAAGTCAGCCTAAAAAAGTAGAGTTCTTTGAGAAAATAGGAAGAATTATTGATTATTCGTCCACATATTCATCAAATGTGGCGCTTGTTCAATTATTTTAAGAACCTATTTCAACTTAACTAATGTTAAAGGGGTTTTGGGGTTTTGGGGTTTTGGGGTTTTGGGGTTTTGGGG